GTTCTGTGTAGTAATTTGGAGCTCTCTTCATGGAGTGTCCTATCTTCAGCTCTTGCAGCTATTTGCTGCCAGCAGTTGCAGATGGGCTCCATGTCTTTGTAGACATTCACATCATACCACCCTCTCCATAAACTTATCAAGTTCATTCTTGAAGGCAGTCAGGTTTTATTTCTCCCACTGTTCCCATTGGAAAGCTGTTCTAGAACTTCTCTCTGATGGTTAGAAACCTTTCTGATTTCAGTGCTAAAGTTGTTTATGGCCGGTTGATGTGTGTTCTTTTGTCTGTATTGGTGCTTAACTTAAATAACTCCTATCGCTCCTTGGTAATTTTCCTCTGTTAGGTAATGGAGAGATGGTGAGAAAACACTGTGCAAAGGGAAAACTTGGAAGAGTAGGAAAGCAAAAAAACATTATTAGACATTACAGATAAGTTAGACTTAGGGACACCTTGAGAGAGACATGAAAACATTTGCCAAGATGCACTGAGAAAACAAAACAAATCTGTTACATGACATTGTTTTCATGTAATATAGATCTTCTCTCATATCCCTAGATGATTTAGACCTAGAAAATATGGATTCTTAACACCTAGAAAATTCATTGTTTTAAACTCCCCATAGTCAGCCAAAGGCAGATGTTAAATAAACCTTCAAGGTATCACTTAAGTGCCTGTGTGATGGGTCAGGACCCCTGGGACGTCACCTGAGGTGCTGAAATACCACTGAGTCAGCCTATTCAGCCTAGCCTGGTCACCATTTGAACCTTGTATTGCTGAGCCAAACACTTAGGCCTCTTCTAGCAAAGCTGACAGGCAGGGCCTCCCCCAGCTGCACAAAATACAGACGCTGAGATCAGCTCTGGGAAGATTCAGTTTAAGGAACTTATTGCAGCACCCAGATACTCAAATTCTCCCCCCGTCTCCTGCTTTTGGGGTACAAACCCGAAGCTATATAAAGCTTGCCTCCTTCCTTGGTGTGAAGGAATGTCTGCACAACCCCTCTCATACCCTTCCTAGAAGTTAGAAATTACATAAACTGGGTTATATTATAAACCAGAAATACTTTATAAAGAAAAGGTACATTTTAATGTTCAAAGAGAGAGCAAAGCAAATTGCTAAAAAAAATGACGTTAGTCCCTAAAGGTATTTCTTGCGAGTAGCTATCGGCATGCAAAAGTCCAGACTCAGTTTATATTTGGAAAGTATCCCAAAAAATGAGTGGCAGTTTTTCTTTCTCCCAGTGACACCTTTAAAGGTTAGGGGAATGATTGAACAAAGTTTGGTTATTTAGGTTCACAGACACTATTCAGTTAGAACAATGCTACAGGTTGATTAATGTTTTTCAACTTCAAACTTTAAAAAAGAATGGATGTTTCTAACAATTAAGCAGCCTCAACACCAAGGTGATTTTTTTTTTTTTTAAATGTAGTAAACGTGCTATAGAAAAAAATGGGCAGGAGGGCTGGAACTAAAAACAACTTGGAAGTGGCATTTAGTCCACGGTTCATATACAGAAAAGTGATCATTTAGTTAGAACAGTTACAGTAACATGTTGACTGGCTAAATAGGCTGCCCTACCTATTTTCTGTGGGCAGATTCACAAGACAAAGTTTTAAGTCAAATGATTAAGCTTTAGAACCAAAGTCTATGCAAACAAAAATAATTACTTGCCAGGTTTGAAGGGTGTAAAAGTCACAATAAACTACAAATACTGAGAGGTGTTTTCCATGTTTTTATGGGGATTTTTTAAATTATTTTAACTTTCTTTGTATTTCATCTTGCTCGTTTCCTTTGATATCAGGTTTGCTTGAACTGGTTCTCCTATACATCTTTGTGTGTAAAACTCCTAGGACTATAGGAGGTTGGGTTTATATTCCATTTTCTTCTATACTACAGACTCACTATGCGAGTTTGATCAAATTACTTAGTCTTTCTGTGCCTTAGTTTCTCTCACTGTAAATTGGTGATGTAACACTTACGATAGATGTCAGTCAGTTTTAAAGTTTGTGCAGACTTTGTTATCCATTCCAACTAAGTTTTTTGGTTATGCTCAGACAGTGACGAGTGTGCGTGGCTCCTTTTCTAATTGTGTTGTTGTGAATCATATTGTCCTGAAGGAATGCCAGCAGTCTTATCTCAGTCTTGGTTACTTTGCATCTGGATTAATCTATTTCTATTTTGGACGGTCTCTCTGACATGTCACTCTATCACCAGGTTGTTGCAAAACACAGCAGCCCAACTGCTTGAGAAACATGAATTGTTGATCAAATTACTCCTATGGTGTGGAATTGCCATTGATTTCCTGTACAGCAGCTGACTGACCTTTAAGTTTTTACTGCTCATGTATGAACTTTTCCGTTGCCATGGCTGTACCCTTGAGTCCAGCTGGGCCTATTTACTCTTCCTCATATGGGGGCACTGGATGGGACATGGTCTTTTTTGTTCTGCTTCCTGATTGTGGCAATTTCTCTCTTCTTCCCTGCAAATTCCGTTTGCATTTTAGAGCCTTTATTTTAAATGTAGCCAAATTCCTGATATCTTTGGCCGTGTGTTTTCTCTTTTAGTTTACTTTATTGGATAGTTGTTTAACATACTGTCAATGAGAAGAGGCTCCATACATTTGAGGCTGTGAGGAAATGTTTGCTTCTGTCTGGGAGCTCAGCTTGTTTTCAGTACCGCTTGTTCAGTTTTTTCAGTATCTGTTGTTTTTCTTAGACAGTTCAGTTATGGTCAAGGCCTAATTCAGGAAAACATCCCTACCCAGTAACAGCACTTAAGCTTGTGCTTAAATTCAAATGTGTTGAAGTTGAGTACTAAAAAAAATGCACCCCCCTAAATAGGGGTGGGTAAAAGAATGTGCTAAAGTTCTTTTCTGAATTGCCACCTAAGGCAGTGGTTCGTAACCTTAGGCCCAATCAGCACAGTGACATGGCCCAAATAGGGAGGGCTGACAGCTTCTGTAAGGACCCAGGCAAGGTGTGGGTGAGCCTTGGCTCTGTAGCCCCAGAGTGGTCGGGGGGAAATGGCGGGGCTGGGACAGCCAGCCTGCAGCGCTGCCCCTACTGTAGTGCAAGACCCCGCCCCATCCCTCCCCTCAGAGCTGCATGGTGCTCCAGGGGCAATTTAAAGGGCTCCAGCCACCACTACTGTTGCTGCAGTTGTAAAATGATGCATTAATAACTGTTATCACTAGGGATGTGAACAACTAGTCACTTCCCCCTTCCGCCCCCGCCTCTATCAGAAAGAGGCAGCAAGGGGCGGGGGAAGAGGAGGAGGTGCTTCAAAGTGGTAGCACCACATGGAGCCCGGGGTCAGTGGAGGAGACCCCGGGCTCTGTGTGGCACTGCTGCTTTGAAACGCTGCAGGGAGCATGGGGCCAGCTGGGGACCATTTGAGTCCCCACTGGCTCCGTGCTCCCCGCAGCACTTTTGCCTTTGAAGTGTAGCAACAACCCCTGGGCTGTTGCTATACTTCAAAAGCATAGGCCCCCTTATTAACTAATTGAACAGTCCATGCAAATTGCATGGACTATTCGATTAGCCAATTAATCTAAATTTAACACCTCTAGCTATCTTAGCTTCCAAAGCTATGTTTTGGTAAGTATTTTACAATTTGGGAGTTAACTTTCCACATTTTGTCAATATATGTTCAACTAGTCATCATAAATTAAGTTTCTTTTTATCTACTTGTGATGTTTAATTTTTTTTAAGATCCATGTATTAAAGTTAACTATTGACACCTTTTTTAATTTAGATTACTTGTCTTTAGCAATAGTCCTATTGGAAAAAAATTGTTTTGATATGGTCACATTTTCCCATTTAAACTTACTGAATATGAGTATTACCAGCCTGAAGGTAAGAATTTTCTATGTAGAGATTTACATTTCAAAATGGTCTAGTGCAACTTAAAAAGTAGCTGTAAGCAAAAAATATTAAGTAGTTGTCACACATTAACATCTCTCCTAAGAGATTCATATTCTTTTTAAAAAAGTGAAAAGACTTTAATATGTACCTCTTATTAAATTTGTCTTTTTGTTTCTTGTGAAGGTTATGAAACAGAATGGATCCTCAGAAATACTAAATAAACTCTATGATACAGCAATGGACAAGCTAGAGGGTGTGAAAAAGGATTATGATGCATTAAGGAAACGGTACAATGAGAAAATAGCAAGCCACAACACAGACCTTAGCCGGCTAGAACAGACAGAAGAGGAGAACAGACGTCTTCAAAAGCAGATCGACATGTTAATGAAACAAAGGGACACAGCCATACATGTCCAGCAGCAGTATTCCTCCTCTCTTAGAAGGTATAGGCAGCTTTTGGTAGCTTATATACGTCATGTAAGTGGCGATAATTCTGCTGACGAGTGGCATTTTTAAAGAGATGGTGTGATTAACCAGTATTTTTCCAAACATTTGCATATGTAGGTTGAAAGGAACCTACATGAATATGTAAAACACCAAAAAATCTACATTAGCCCACACAACTTCAGGAATTGAAAAGCACTGAGGGAAAATGCTCCCTTTCTCAGAATTATGTTTTAACCCATATGAAATCCTGTACAAACTGTCCTTTTGTTCATGTGCGAGAGCCTTTGGTTCATAGTATTGCTCAGAGGGAAAAATAAATCCCTTGCGACTGCCAACAATACTGCAGCCGTTCTCAGCATTTGATTTAGCAGTCTTAACTCGACCCGCTAAATCCAGTGCCAGAAGATGGATCTCTGGTATGGCAATTGAAGATGTGGCCTCACTCTACTCTGCTTGAACTCAGATAGTTTACACAAATGCTTAAAAGAAGAGTGCTAGTGTAGACAAGGCTTAAAAAAGATATCTGTGGGTGAGATGAGATGCTATGGCTTTTCAGTGACTTAATTTAGGAATATTTACATTCCTCATGTGTTAACTGAAAGTCCAACATCAATGTACAATTTCAGATTACTCCCTCTCATCCTATTAATGCAATCCTCTGTTGGCTGTGATGAAGGCTGCAGAATGAACACCTTTACAGTGCCATTTGTGTGTGAGAGATGCACAGGAGGCTTAAACCAGCTAAAAAGAACATTTTATACACAACTCTTTTGATTCCTGGAAGTGTGCAAAAGCTTAACATTTCTATCTCTTCCAGTCACAGAAACAGAATTTTTCCAGGAGGCAAAAAGTTAGCTGCTAAAGAAAAAAAAATTGTCTGAGATACCTAGGATGAAGTTTAATAAGGACAAATGCCAAGTACTCCACTTAGGAAGGAATAATCCATTTCACACATACAGAATGGGAAGCAACTGTCTAGGAAGGAATACCACAGAAAGGGATCTAGGGGTTATAGTGGACCACAAGCTAAGTATGAGTCAACAGTGTGACACTGTTGCAAAAAAAGCAAACATGATCCTAGGTGCTTTAACAGGTGTGTTGTGAGGAAGAGACGATAAGTCATTCTTCCGCTCTACTTTGCGCTGATTAGGCCTCACTGACCACATTTCAAGAAAGATGTGAAGAAATTGGAGAAGGTTAAGAGAAGAGCAACAAAAATGATTAAAGGTCCAGAGAGCATGAGCTATAAGGGAAGACTGAAACAGCTGGGCGTGTTTTGTTTAGAAAAGAGAAGACCGTGAGGGAACATGATAGCAACTTTCAAGTATCTAAAAGGGTGTTACAAGGAGGAGTGAGAGAAATTGTTCTCCTTGGTCTCTGAGGATAGGACAAGAAGCAATGGGCTTAAATTGCAGCAAAGAAGGTTTAGGTTGGACATGGGGAACTTGTTTTCTTTTGTGTGCTTGTGAGTGGGTGGTAAATGCATTTGTCCCTTTCTGTCCCAGCCCTTCCCTCCTTCCCCTCTGGCTTTACAATACTGGGTCATGTTGCATATTTATCTGTAACATCTCTTTGTCAAAATGCAGGACAATGTAGCACTTTAAAGACTAACAAGATGGTTTATTAGATGATGAGCTTTCGTGGGCCAGACCCACTTCCTCAGATCAAATAGTGGAAGAAAGTAGTCACAACCATATATACCAAAGGATGATCTAGACGGTGTTTGGTCCTGCCATAAGAGCAGGGGACTGGACTTGATGATCTCCCTTCCAATTCTAGTATTTTATGATTCTATGCTATGGTCCTGTCCTAGAGAACTCCTTCAGAGTAAATTTTATATACAGATTTCTATATAAATTAGAGAATCTACTTGCTTGGGGATTTGCATAATATCCTAGCCTTTAATGAGGCACATGGAATACTTTGCTCACAGCTACTACTGTATAGTCACGAAAAGAGTCCTCATGAAATGAAGTGTGTAAGTGAAATCTGTGATATAATAGTCAGACTGATGTATGCTGAAGTCTGAGGAATTTGAGGAGCTGCAGTCCTGTTCCTCAGAAACCTATGCAAAATAAGTTAATTGGACTGAATGGGGAATTGAGTATGGAAAACAGCTTGAAAACAATTCTTGTGCATGGTCAGTGTATTGTTTAAGCATGAAATATTGCTCTTTTCAAAATATATTTTTCAGAGTATCAAACGTACCAAATCTGCAGTTTAAGTTAATGATGAACTAAAACTAGCTAACTTCAGCAAGTTTTAACTACAGTTTTTTAAAAACTTGTTTAAGCAGAGTCTAAATTGTGCATTGTTTTTGCACACAAAAACATGGTTCTGACCTGGACTACTACTTTCATCCTGGGAAAAGCACATAACACTGCACCCTTGTTTCCTCCATCTGTGATATGGAGGCGATACTACATGTCAAGATTGGTATGATGGATATAACTGTGTAAATAGGTTTTGGCCACTATCCCCAGATTTAGCCTTCCTTACTCTTCAAACTCCCTCACTCCCCACTATTCCGCTTTCATAAGAGCTGTTGCAAAAATTGCTTTGACTCAGTTTCTAGAACAGGAAGCCTCTGAGCTGTGAAAGTGTGATGCCAGCTGTCTTCCTTCTTGGAAGCAGAGAGCAGACTGTTCAAGGTCAGTTCTGAAGCCAGATTTTCTGTGTGGAATTTCTCTTCAATAGCTACTCAGAATTCTGTACTATGATCGTTTCACAGATAGAAGTAATGTCTACAGAAGGTATGATTTTCCTGCCCCATTTACTAATTCCTAATGTCTCAGAGTTGGATTTTTTCTTGCTTTAAAAAAAAAATCCTTCATAGCAAGTATCCTGTATAGCCGATGACCTGGTTTCATTTGTCAGCTATTGATTTGATTCTCCCTTTCCCCACTCGCCTTCCACACTCCCACTGTTGACCTGAATGGTGTTTGGGATGCGCACTGCTACAAGGTTACACTTCACAGATGTGTATGTCTCAGGCTTTTAACGTGTGCCTGTTACAATACAATCTCCTCTTCATGTTTGCCCACAACTCTAAAAGAAAAAAACAATTAGGTACTTAATCGAGTAGATCTTTCTGTACTCTCCATACTGGTGATCTGTTAGGAGAGTCTTCGAGCTGCACTAATGGCAGGAAACACACTTGGAAATTACTGACAGATGTCATTAATGGCATGAAAGAAGCTTTAAATTTTCAGGACTCTCTCTCTCTTCCTGCCCCCTTTCTCCCCCCCCCCCCCCCAAATCTTTGCATTCCCTGCTTGCCAGATGAGTTCAGAGCCTGGCACAATGGATCAGGCTTACAGCTCTGGTCCCAGGAATTAATTCATAGTATATCGGCTTGCACAAGAACCATGTCTAGACCATGCCGAGTTTGTGTGTGAGAACACAAGATATACCAGAGGCATATAGGATTTGCCATGCTGGATCTGACTAGAAGTCCAAATCAGGAACCCTGTTTCTGACATTAACTATAACCAGATGCTTCAGAAAAAAAGGTGCGAAAGAAATCCCTTTTCATAAAATTATGGAAGAATATTCTGATAGAAGTTTCTTCCATGCTCCCATCAGGTGGTGTCTGCTCTGAGGCATGAAGGCTTATATGCTTCATTATTTTTTAAATTCTATCAACATAACTCTGGATGTTCATATGGGCAGGTGGTGCTTTTCTGAATCTAAGATCTTAGTCTCTCATACATTTTGGCAATAAAATTCACAGCTGAACCAAGTGTTTTGTTAAAAAGAAATATATTTTTAAATCAAAGTTAAATGTGATTCCCTTAATTTAGCTGCTGTCCTTTTTGTTTTCTCATCAAAGTAAGGCAGATAGAAGCATTCAGTTTGCCATTTTCCCCCACGCTATTTTCCATACCTCTAATTTGTATCCTTTCTTGACCATGACACTGATCATTTCCGATGCCCAGATCTGGGAACCCATTTCTCCCGTCTCCCACGCCTTTGCTATATCCATTGTGGGTTGGAGTGCCTGGATCCGGAACACCTTATTTCATGCAAAGGCAGACAGTCAATTTCTATAACGGCACATTTTCAGTATTGTTGTTGATCGCATTTTATACTCGTTGTAATATTATTTTCATTCACTTCATTTCTACAGCTTCTGTGTATCAAATACGTATTTTCCCTGTTTAAATTACCAATCTGTAGTCAGTTCATTTGCAACCACTCTGTCCTTCTCATTTCCCTAAGTGTGTTTTGCATATGTGGGGCAGGAATTCTGGAAAGAGGGATGGGGGTGTGGTTCCTGGTACACAAATAGTTTGAGAACCACTGTCTTAGTTCTTATCAGGGGTACATGTATAGATGCAGATTAGCAGAGGCCTTTAAGGTGTACATTATCTCATCTAGAAGTGTGCCTAGTTTTACAAAAGGCTACATAAAAACACTAGTAACTTGAGTAGAGACTAATTTTCATGCAGACGAGTTGTTTGTACTTCTGTATATACAATACACTGAAACATAAGTACAATATTTATATTCCAATTGATTTGTAATATGGTTAATGAGAAAGTAAGCATTTTTTAGTAATAGTGGGCTGTGACAGTTTGTATTATGTCTGATTCAGTAAGCAAGTAGGTTTTTAAGTGAGATGGAACTGGGGGTACACAATAAGGATGTTAAGGACTAGTCGACTATCTGATAAGCAAATGCTTATTGGATAGTCAGTCGACTAGTTAATTTCTCCCCCTCCTCCCGCTGCAACAAAGGAGAGGGGGGAAGAAGAGGTACTTCAAAGTGGCAGCACCACACGGCTGAGCTCAGGATCAGCTGTGTGGCGCTGCCCCTTTGAAACACTGAGGCAGCGTTTCAATGCAGCAGTGTTGCTTGGAGCCCAGGGTCAGCTAGGGACTTCCCTGTTGACCCCAAGTTCTGGAGCATTGCCATGCAGAGCCTGAGATCAGCTGGGGACTCCCCAGCTGACCCTGGGCTTCGCATGGCATTTCAATAGGCATCGCAACACGGAGCTCAGGGAGTCCCCCCCGCCCCTGATCCCGGGCTCCATGAGGCCGCTTCTGCTTTGAAATGCACAAGATCCCCTGCTGGGGGCTCTTGTACATTTCAAAGCTGGCACCCCTGTGCAGCCCTGGCCCTGGGCTGCATGCAGAGAACAACATTCCTCCTTTGAAATGTACAAGAGCCCCACAAGGGGCTCTTGTACATTTCAAAGGAGGAATGTTGTTCTCTGCATGCAGCCCAGCTCGACTAGTAAATAAACTGATATTTAATATCCTTAGTATGTAAGACAAATCAGAGTCCATAAAGGAGTCCAATAGTCTGGAAAGGATGACAGCTATTGCACTAATGACTTGTCTGCATGTACAGCACTGCTGTAGCACTTCAGTGAAAATGGGCGTAATGCTGACTGGGAAGCTTCTCTCATTGGCCAAGTTCATCCACTTCTGTGAGGCAGTAGCTAGGTTGATGGGAGAAGCTCTCCCTTGAATATATCTTGCCTACTCCCGGGATGAGGTCCGAATAACTGTGCCACTTAGAGGTGTGGTGTTCACACCGCTGAACTATGTAGTTATGCTGCTTACTAAGTTTGTGGTGTAGGTCTAACCTGACTATATAGTGTAGATGGTGGGTGTCTTTTTAAAAAAAAATGTGATCTGCAAAGTTTTGCTATTTACTGCACTGTTTAATGGATACTCTGGATCACATGGAAAGCATTTAGTTGTATACATGTGCACTAAAACGAGGTTATCCAGAGATGAGCAGTAAATATGATAAAAGGTTTAGAAAACCTATGAGGAAAGGCTAAAAAAATTGGGTATGCCTTTGAGTCTTGAGAGAGAAAAGGTGATGAATTTTCACTTATGTTAAGGGCTGTTACAAACAGGATGGTAATTGGTGGTTTTCCATGTCTGCTGAAAGTGAAATAAGTAGTAATGGGCTTAATCTGTAACAAGGGAGATTGACTAGACATGAGAAAAAACCCTTTGATTATAGGAGTGGTTTAAACTCTCCCACAGGAGGTTGTGGAATCCCCATCATGGGAAGCTTTCAATCACAGGTACAACAAACACCCGTCCAGGACATTCTAGGCTTACATGGTCTTGCCTCAAGTCAAGAGGCTGGACTTCTTGAGTCCCTTCTGGCTGGACATTTCTACCGCTTTGTACAAGAAAAAATGCACAGTGATGGAAGTACCTCTGTTTCTTGTTTTTGTTTTTTGTTTAGGTTTGAGTCAATACAGCAAGAGCTAAGCAAAGCCACTGCGCAGAACAAAGAGTTGCAGAGAGAGATGGAGCGGTTGCAGTCAGAGGTGACACGGTTCAAAACAATGCAGCTGAAGGCAGTGAAGGATGCAGAGAAGTACAAGGAAGAGAGAGACTCTGTTTTCAATGAGTATCGCCTCATAATGAGTGAGAGAGACCAAGTGATTAAAGAGGTGGATAAGCTTCAGACCGAACTAGAGCTTGCAGAGTCCAAACTGAAAAACACGTCCTCAGAGAAAAGAGTGGCTAGTGAGGAGGTGGAAGCTTTGAGACAGGTACCAAGGGACCATTTTGCTATGGGTGGGAGGATCAAGAGTTTTACCGGTGCTTCCTTGCAGCTGTGAAAATAAGCATGCACCCGAGAGCTGGAAATCTGACTTCATTGTGGAAAGGGAATTCCCTGTTGACGTTCTGCTGGTGGCACTCTTGCATGTCAGCTCATTATATTCCAAGTGTGAGTACAGTTGAGTACCTGTCAGCTGCGGTCTGCTATATTTACTTGACTTGCTCTGTTCAGTTCACTTCAGATTCTTCATTTTAACAAGCCAACCATTTGTACCCAGTACGTGATGCACTGTATAACAATAGCTAGAACTCAAATACATTTCTTTGTTTTTTTAAACTGGTAGCAAAGAAACAAACACCGGGGTATTAAGTGTTAAGAAGTAAGACCTAGCATTAGAAAATAGATGCTCAGTTTCCTTTAACATCTACTCAAAGACTAGAAGTATGTCCCCTGTATTTTATCCTTTAGCCTCTCAAATGAAAGAGGACATTTGGCACTAAGATTTAAAAAAAAAAAAGCAGGCACTGCTTTATAAATCATGTTAATCCAAAAGCTGTATCATTCAAGCATTATATAGTCTTAATGTTTAAAACATTAGTGCTGTTAAGAGGATTTACAAATGCAGCTTGCTGCTGAATATTAATAATACTCATTTGGTTTTCAGTTTTTTAGTGTTATTCACATACAACCAAATACTTTTCCTGCACTCATAAACCTTTTTTTTTGCTTTTCTTTCACACACTTGTAAAGGATCACATATACAGTTATCTAAATGCAGCACTTCTGAAAAACAGACTTCTTTTATTTAGGTAGCCTAAGCCATGTTTATATATGTGGCCAACACCCAAACAACCAAGTTGAAAAATGTTTGGACTAACTGTTGTTGGTGCTAGCTGTGCGGAATTTGAATTGTGAATTCCCGGTCTACACTTAAAAAATGAATTAACCTACCTGTGAGGGATTTTGCCTCCTGAGCACCAGAGTTAAAACAGTCTTGCACCAAGTGTAAATGTAGTGATGTTAATGGTTGGATTCTTCTGTTTGATTGGTGTTCCACCATTTGGAGAGGTGGAATTGCTACACTGACAGAGGCTTGCATGCAAAGCACTGATTCCGCTGACTGACAGAGGCTTGCATGCAAAGCACTGATTCAGCTGTATGAAGTGGAAATATGAAGTGGAAATCTATCAGCTACATTGATAGAATAACTCCTTCCATTAGAATGGGTGGTGTCTGAACTTTGCCTCTACAGAGGCCTAGCTGCACTGCTGTAGTATAGACCAGGTCAAGAGGTAGGGTTTACAGAAATTGTCATTGTTGGCCTAACTCTGATCCCATTGAAGTCAATCATATTTTTAGTACTCACTTTCATGAAAGCAGAGGAAAGGTAATTTTGAGCTCTTCTCTAAATCTCACTCCAAGTTGACTGACCGTTCATAATTTGTTTTAATAATCAATACAGTTCCTACAGTAATTTGCATGGATGATTAAGCATAGGATGGGAAAAAAAACCAAGCTTTTCCAGAGAGCTGTGTGTCAATCTTGAAAGCCCACTTGGATGAGTGGTTTAATAGAGACAGGAGTGAGAGAACCCCGATCAACAAGATGCTAATTGCTGACATTTTAAAAAAAAGTTATGGATGTTTTCAAGGGCATATACAATTCCTATATACTGAGCGCACTGAAGTACCTTTTGCTAGAACTATTTTAATTCTATAAATTGGAATAACTGTGTTGGGATTAGAGTTTTTCTCTCTTTAGAACTATGTAGCTATTCTGCCTTATGAGCAGTGTGTTCCTTTTTTAGGTAATACTGATCATATAAGCTTGCATTTATCTGGTTCTGCCTGGATCTGGTACTGGGGCAGGAGTCTGAGAGGGATGTATGAGTGGTTTATTGATCAAGCAACACTTCAGCTTGTAGGTGTATGCATGATAATCCCATGTAAATGGGATTATCCCTTCAACAAGTTTGACTGCGCCTGGTACTGCAGTTACTCTTACTTGTATGTAGTGCCACCTAGTGAAAAACTGCAGTTATGATGGTCATGTATAGTATGGTCACAAATATTTGTTTGGAACTGCAAGCACTGCATCCATTTTTTTTAAATTGTTCTAAATGTTCATCCTGCAGTACTCCTGTGCATGATGATACAGGGGGTTTTGTGTTGTTACTAAAATGTAAAAGCTACTAAAGTTTAGGGGGGTCATTGTAATTTTTAAAAGCTGAAATTATGTGAGGTAATCAGTCATAAACTCTCAGACCTAGTGCTAGTTTCTAAATCTTCCTGGGGCCCTGTGTGCTTGAACACAAGGAGATCAAACCATATCCAGACACTTCTGAAATGTATACCACACACAAGTGACAGAACAAATCAAAAGTGGGAAAGCTTAGTTAAGAGTTTTTGTGGACAGTTTAAGGCAAGATTGCAATGGCTTTAGCCACACAGCTTTGATAAGGGTTTTTTGTCTTTATATTTGTAGGCTCAGGTAACCTACCATAACACCTTACTTGTAGGATGGAGAGGTGCACAAGCAACTACCAGAGTATACAATACTTTCTCAGCTATTCAGCTGATTTTTTTTCCTTTGCCAACCAAGTTGTTTTGACTCTTGTATCTTCTGGGGATCTTCGTCACAATGTGTTGACACTGAAAAACATCCTACAAGAGTGAAAATGTTTATCACGGATGCAAACACTGTTCACTTTCTGCCTGTGAACTAGCTACATTTTCCATCTGATTATATAGTAATCAAACTGTAATTTGAGTGCCTACATACATATGTGTAGGCAGAAGCAAATTGAGTAAGAAAGAGCAACATTTGCCCAATCATTATTAGCACTGTTGAATGCTTCAATTTGTAGAAGTATTGTTTGCAAACAAGAGAATATATAAACTCTTCAGCTGGGATTTGGGACTAATTTTTTTGTACATTTACAGCATCCATTTCTACTTGCTAAAGAGAAGAAAATTCTCTTGATCTGGACACACACAGCCATGTTAGCAATCTTCCTTTCCACACTGGCAGTCTGTTGTCCTACTCCTCTCCAGAAATCCTGTTTTCCCACTGCTGTGCAGTTTAATACTCCCATCCTATTCAGCTGTCGTGCTGATGTGTAATGCAGCATGATACTGAATAAGGTACATTAAAAGTACATAATATCATTTTATATTAAATAGGGATGAACAGTGTAACTGTTTAAACTATTAAATAAGCATGAGCTTATTGGTTACCATAATGGTTACACACGAGCTGCCACCCCTCACAGCTGGCTCCAGCTGCCGCCCAGTTCTGTGGGTTCTGCAGTATAAAGCTTACTCTGCAGAGCCTACGGCATGTAACCGTGTAACTGCTAAGGTTTTTAACAGTTACATAGTTACCTAATTAACCACTTTTTATCATCCCCGGTATTAAATCTGACTGGTTATCCAAGACTCCGGTGGACTCGCAACAAATGTCCTTGCTCTCGGTTTCTCAGAACCATGAACTTTCCTAATTGTGTGCTGTTATTCAGATGACAGGGTGTTTAAAGGTGGTGATATAGCAGTTGTAACTCTTTCCTGAATGTTGTCTGCATTTAGTATGGTCAAAGAGCTGTACAGTTCCCCTTTTTGCAGAAAGTTTATTCTACACCCATGGTTCTTAAGGTGTCAGCGTTTATTTAACTGGAAATAAGAAATATTGCTCTGTACAAAACACCCTGCAAACAATGTGTTTGTTTCAGGAGCTAAACTCCGCTCTAGTGGAACGTGATCGGGCAATCTGTGAAAGGAACGAGTTGCTGGAAAAGTACTGTCATGAAGTGAAGGATAAGGCTGAGGCCCAGAAGGAACTTGATCAAGCCTGCAAGGATATAGAGACAGTGAAGGAAGAAAGAGATGTTGCCAGGAAAGAGAGAACAGAAGCTATCATCCAGAGAGACCATCTGCTAAGGGAATATTACCAAGCTCGTCAGGTACTGGCTGTCTTCGCAGATGGCTTTTTCCTTTTAGGTCAAGGAGAGTCAACACCATTTGGCAGACTTGTAAAGGTCTCAGCTCGATGAAGAATGCACTTCTTAGGAGGGGGTGCAACTAAGCTACTTCATAAATCAGTCACAGCTTTTAAGTTTACCTTTATGAAGGGCTAATCAGTAATTAATAGATGTCAATATATAGTTAACAGGATTGTTATAGCCCAACGGTTCATCAGGTTCCAGTAGTGGTGTGCCTGGAACATTGCCCCCTTGTGCGTCTTCCAGGACCTCATTGTGGCAGGTTCTGTTCCACCAATTAGTTTTACCTTCAGTCTTTTTCCAGTTCTGGACAGGATTGAGGGGCTAAACTCCAGAAGAGTTCAATTACCCCCCAAATAAAAACCCAACACCCTCCCCCAAAACACTAGGCTGTTTCCCAGTCTTCCAGTGAGAGGAGAGGGAATTCACCCCAGGCTTTTCCTTTGGCTTTGGTTCCCCAGCCAGTCTCTGATTAGAGGACTTTTTGCTCCTTGGGGTTTGGCTGTTCCTGCAATGGCTGCTCTGGTGAGCAGACTCTTTGCTATAGCTCTGCAAGAGAAGCTCCTTCTGGCAGGGCTGTTAGCTCTGACCTGAGCCAGGCGGTCTTTTATCCTCCCTCTTGGCTTGGCATGTGAGACTTATCTATCTAATCTATCTATCTATAATATGGATTGCCATGAGCTTTCGTGGATACAGCGCACTTTGGTCCTCTGTGCCTCATCTCAATCACTTAATATAAATCCTTATAAAGCAATTTGTAAGTGAAACAATATAAAGTGTGACTAAAGACTCTCTGTTCTGCACACATTTCTTACAACTTACAGAGAACAAGTTATGGCTGCTAATTTTAATTATTTATATAGAAGAATTAAAATATTCCTGCAGTTTTGCAATGTTTGTAATTATGCTATCATGTATTTAAAAATCATGTACTAGCCCTGCTTCCCTATGCTTGTGTAGGAACTACATGATTTACAGTAATTGTTTAAGTAAGATCTTTCTGAATGTTTTATGTGTGCGGCATATTTTCATTTACCTTATTTCATCATAGTATCAATCCTTGATCATAATACCATATAGGCAGGTCTGGCAGCATCTTGTCACTCAACAGTGCACCCCCACCTCCCAAATAGGTAAAGGGTTGCATATGATAGACTCTAAAGGAGGAGCCTTGCTAAATGGTCTGCTAAAAGAGGCAACGGGGTCAACAGATTTTAAGGATCTGTACACTCCTCCGACACAAGACCCTCAGAAGGAGCGAAGTTTTACTTTGTCACATCTACCTTTTGTTTTATGAAGGGGAGAGGAGAATCCTGTACAAGCTGAGTGGAGAGCCCTCTGACAATCACTGATGGATACATAATATATAGGCACAGATCTCAGGTGTTTGTGGGTTGATTTGGAGGTTTTGAGAGGTGGGCTGACATGAGGGGTGTGTAGAAGAGTGGCAAAGGAAATAGCACAACGAAAGGCAAGACATATATTATTGTGGCTTCTGTTTATTCTCCTGAATTAGGATTATACATTTTAAAGTGGTGGGTTGGAATGTGCCAAGGGGTTTTAAGCATTAATGGCTACAATTGAAAACAATTTGGGGAGGCATACAGCCCTAAATGTGTAGAGTCCTTTGGAAGTGACTCGTCTAAAACTGATAGGAACCCTCTACGTGTATTTAGACTCTGATTCTGTGAACACATAGTTGCGTAATTTCATGAGTGGTCCTTTGTGTTCATTAGGACTACTCACGTATGTCAAGCTCACATATAACAGCAAGAAAAGGTTTTGAATTAGTCATGTTAAAATAATCTTGCTTGTTTTGTGCTGCAAATATGGAGGTGTTTCTCTTTAAATTGGTGTTGCCATTGTCGCTCTTCCCTTTGGTGTTCAGAATGTGCACTGGACGGCAGGTGGAGTTCCATGTTTTTAAAAGAGTGAAATCTTTTCTAAAATCCTGAATTTTTAAATATTCAATTAAAGCTAAAACATCTTCGAGAGCCATTATTCCTCTTGTGAGATTGGGGATTGTGAATCACCAGTGTAGGTGCACTGTAAATCTGCATCTGTTTACAGTCTCACAGGCTAAGTCTAGACACTAGAACAGTCAGTCTGTGCAATGAAAGTGCACTATATTGATCTCATTTCCAGCTGTCCTTCGACATCTTCGGTCTCTATGCTACAATAGATCAATGAGTCAGCAAGGTGCCACTGAAATATCAAGTATTTATATAGATTTTTCTCTAAGATGAGGAAATCTACTGTGAATCAGTCCTATAAATCACTGAGCCTCCCTCTTGGCTAAAATGCATAGAGCCAATCCTGACCCCTTTACACAGGCAAAGTTCCCATCGACTTCGGGATTCTCACTGAACAGTTATTTAGTTGGTGGAAGGATTTCAAAATCAAGCCCTTCATATAATAAATGGGTAGTATGGGTTACAATACTTAACGTGCATACTTATCTCATGAATTGTTCATAAAATAAATATTTATATATATTTGAACTTCCAGATCCAAGATTCTGCTACATTGGACATAGAAAGAGCTAACAAAGAAATTGAAATGCTTCGAAAGCAATATGAGGCCATGTCACAAGAGCTAAAGGAGGCTGTCCAGGAAGCAGAAGTAGCCAAATGTCGGCGAGATTGGGCTTTTCAAGAACGGGACAAGATAGTTGCGGAAAGGGAGAGCATACGGTAAACACATTAGATGTTCCTTCATAGTTGGACGGCTTTTGATAGTGTGTCTCATCTTTTTGAGCCAGTGCATGATTTGATCACAGTTAACTTAAGTAATAGGCAAAATAACCCTTTTTAATTTGGGAGGGTCTTCCAAGACAACCTTAACAACAAATCCCTTCCTTGCCACACTAACTTCTCCCTCCACAGCCCATCAGCGCAGTCATAAGAGCGTGGTAACAAGGTATCTTCCTCCGCACGTAGTAGCCGACTATGTAGTACCCATGGTCTAAAAAGCAAGGGACCTGAATTATGATTTCCGAGGATCTAGTTGTTAACTTACTGTCTATAAAACACCTCACACCCCTTTTGTGCTAGATAAACACTTAAGTACAAAAGCAGAATTTCTAAAACAGGAAGGATTTTTTTAGCAGGTAAAGGACATGTCTGGATATAAAGATTCAGAGTTGTATGAATGTAAGTTGAAGCTTTAAAATATTACCTGAATATCTGTTACTTTCAAAGGACTTTGTGTGACAACTTGAGGAGAGAGCGAGACAGAGCTGTGAGTGACTTGGCAGAGGCGCTTCGCAATCTTGATGACATGAGAAAGCAAAAAAATGATGCTGTGCGTGAATTGAAGGAACTGAAGTACGTTATAAAATGATGTAATTGTATGGAATTCTTTTTATACTAAAAACCTTTAATCCACTGACTCTTCAGGCCTGTCTGCCTGCATCAGTGTAAATAAGATAACACTAGTACACAACCCCCCTTACGTAGAAGCCTGAAGACACAGCAGGGCTCGCTCTCTGGTTTAGCTTACTTCAGTAACTCAGGGCTTTTGATGACTGTTTAAGCTTGAGGTTAAGAAAGTATCTTATTTCTAATGCCCCTTCAAAAGCTGTTCAGAAACAGAAAAAAAATTCAAGTCAACATGTACTGATGAGGTAGTCAGCATTTTGATATCTATGTGCCTCTGGCTAATCCTAGCCTTTCACTTGCATTATACCCATCACTTGCATTAAGATTAAATAGAACTTAAACACCGGGGCTGTGTCTACACTGGCATGAATTTCCGGAAATGCTTAAAACAGAATAGTTTTCATTATTAGTATTTCTGGAAAAAGAGCATCTACACTGGCAGGCTGCTTTTCCGGAAAAGTCCTTTTTCTGGAAAAGCGTCCGTGGCCAATCAATGACAATCGTCATTTCTGCGATCGGGGCTTTTTTCCGGAAAAGACTCCTGAGCTGTCTACACTGGCCCTTTTCCGGAACAGTGTTCCGGAATAAGGACTTATGCCCGAGCGGGAGCAGAATAGTTTTTCCGGAATAGCGGCTGATTTTGTACAGTTCAACGTCATTGCTTTTCCGGAAATTCGAGGGCCAGTGTAGACAGCTCGCAGCTTATTCCGGAAAAGTGGCTGATTTTCCAGAATAAGTGGCCCAGTGTAGACACAGCCCTATTGTGCATAAGGGGAAGGATCCACATGTAGATAAACTTATATATCAGTGTTGTGTAAGATGCCGACAAAAGGAGCCTATTAGTCATGCCCTGTCCCCCCAGCAGGCCCAGCCAAAGAGTTTGCGGGGCCCAAGGCAGGACCCTGGGAGTGGGGCCACGGCCAGTGGATGGTGAATACTCAGCATCAGGGGGCCCCGAAAACATGAGGCCCAAGTCACTTGCTTTGCTCGCCTTGCCCTATGGCAGAGCCTGCCCCACAGGAAATAAGAGAATAGAAAGTCTCCATTGAGATTAGACTGTTGGGTCAGAAGTGTAATCTGTTCTGAATATGTCTACATATGAAATATATCAGTTGAAATGCATGGAAGCAACTCTTTCACTGCAGTCAGGATTTCTCTGTAGCTTTGTTCATTACAACCAGATTCCCACTGAATGATAAATAAGAGCAGAAAACCTGTATCATACTATTTCAGGGTGATAGGAGATCTTAGTTTCAGTACTAACTCACATCCACTTCTCCCCTAGTAATTGGAGCAGGTTATCTGGAGGGCGAGGGGAGCAAATCTGCTAGGTTTCTTAAGATATTTTCTATATGTTCATGTATAGAAATTATTCATAAGTTTCTTCCCATTCATTTAAGAGAAGGTTATTACAGGATGTAGGAAATATGTTTTAAAAGTGGTTGGAGGTTTCTACCAAGCTTTTGGGATTGGCTAGACTGAGCATAATTTGTATTGCTAAATTAGAGAAGAAACTGTAAAATGCATAATGTCATCCATTCATATTTTTACAAGGGAACTGCTGAATCACTTATAAACAATTGTCTTTTATTCCATAGAGAGAAGATGGAGAACCAGTTGGAAAAGGAAGCCAGGTTTCGCCAGTTAATGGCCCACAGTTCTCATGATTCAGCCATTGACACAGATTCTCTGGAATGGGAAACTGAAGTGGTAGAGTTTGAAAAAGACAGAGTAAGCTGTCATTTGAAGACTTGAGGGTTTTGTCTGAACGAATTACTTGATGTTTCGTTATTACATCCCTGGTATAATAGGTCGTACAATAGGGCAGTTTGTTCAATATGTATTTTTAAGCATTATTAATTGTCATTGTGGTTACATACCATAAATGCAGTATCCACAACCAATATCATATCAGTCAGGTATGAAAAGCTGACACATTAAGACACAATAGACCATTATCAAAAAGATTTGTTATAGGAAATCTACTTGCTTTTGTGGAGTACAAACCATAGATAACTTTGCCATTGATCTTGTACGCTGCACAGGTGTTACTTATATATAAAACTGTGTGTGAATAATAAATGAATATTAATTAATAATGATAAATATTTAACCCTTGGAGAGGAATTGACATTTCTATATAATAATTTGTATATCTGGGATGTTAAAGCACCAAAAGAAATCATACAATTCTACAATTTTGCTGTGCCTACAAGTACATATTAAATTGAATTGCTGTTGAATTGCTCACTAATATTAACTGCGTTTTTGTTAGGAGGATATGGACTTGAAAGCACTTGGTTTTGATGTGGCAGAAGGTGTGAATGAACCATACCTCCCTGGAGACTGTGGAATATTTGTCACCAAAGTAGACAAAGGAAGTATTGCGGATGGTCGATTAAGGTACAGTGTTAACTGGTAAATCATTTGCATGCCAATGGTAAACACATATTTTAATGTGCTTTAGTTTAAAAAAATCATATGTATAATTGGTCACCTCTGCATAGTTTAAGTGGCTTCTGTTTTAGCTCCCTAATAACTTAGGCTTGGGAAATTGGTTTGATCTGAAAATTGCAGTAAGAAGCCCTCTAGCACATGACCTACTTCTGTTGCTTCACACTTTCCGTTTACAGTACTTAGATCTTCTTGAGAATTTGTGGGTAAGCTATAGCGAGGAGATGGAAGATTATGGATACTTTATGACCTAGTACTGATGCCATAGTGTCAGTTTGAGTTTTGGGTCTCTTAAGTGAAAGTTGACTAAATGTCTGTCCTTCTGTTGGCTGGTCCAGCTTACAGAAAATTGTGTTAACAGTACAGAAAGCTAAAAGAGGTCTTCCTTTGGCAGAAGTGATGGAGACTTGTGTTTTGAAACAGCAGAACCAGAGCTCTTGTCCAGACTCTGGAACTATGTGCAGAGGTTATTATGGAATGAAGCCCCCTCCCCCAATAGAAAGTTGCAGCCACAGTCCTTTCATAAGGCTAATTTTCAATGGCCTTGTAACTCATGTTTTCAGATGTGTACAGTTGAGGTCTCAATAAAAGCTGGAACATATTGTGACATTTTTGTTTAAACTAAGGGACCACTCTGATTTTAAAGGGCTTTAAATGTCTTTTGCTGGACATTTTGGGAACATACCTAATGCTATGTCTGCTCAACACAATGGCATCAGAATACATGAAACATAGGTAGATTTTGAGAGCGGGTCATGCCTGAGATGGTTTCAAGAACAATAATATGTTTGAGGTAACTGAAAAATGTCAAGTGAATTGCCAAAATCCGTCTCATAGCCCTGATTATTAAGGTAATAACTGTGACTTATTCACTTTACAGGAGAACCTACCTCTCAAATGTTGCTTCAGGTATCTGTGGTTAGTTAGGCAGCCTCTAATGTGGAGCTAATCCTGCTTAATGTACCTTCACAGCTGTGTTACCACCATGTTTTTAGATAAGATGTCCAAGAGTCAGTAGCTTGATTAGGAGAAGCTGAGACGGGTGATGCATGGGGAGGAGGTGCAGTGGCAGAAGGGACATGTCCCAGTCCCCAAATGCCACTGGAGAGGACGAGGGGGAACAAGGGGCCAATAGCTGGTGGGGACAGAGCCTCTCTTCTTTGAGCCACTGTGCCTGACTGCTGCTCTATCCCAGACAGCTTCTGGGCACACTGCTTAGGATGCTGGTTGCTGCCTGGGACAGAGCAGTGGAACAGAACTCTCCCCACCCTAGCTAACATGAGATGGGGAAGGGACAGGATGGGGACAATGAAGGGACCTGAGCTAAGGGTGGGGAGGAGTCACATGTGCCCCCTTGTGTCACTTCCCGCTAGTCATCTCTACAAGGGCTAGTAAGCACTGGTGGTGGAACCAGAGGACCTTGAGCTAACTCAGTCATTAACAGATGATGGGATACATCATGTTTTTTCAGAAATGAGCAGTGTTTGACATGCCACCCCTAATGTCTAAGTTGTTTTAATGCTATTATGGCCCTTGTAATTAATTATTGCATATTAGCAAAGTATTCTTATAATATGGACTTCCTTGCCTTTGTTTTAACTGCCAGAGTGAATGATTGGTTGCTGAAGATAAATGATGTGGATCTTACTAATAAGGATAAGAAGCAAGTTATAAAAGCTGTACTTAATGGAGGTGGAGTTATTAATATGGTGGTTCGGAGAAGGAAGTCCTTAGGCGGGAAAGTGATAACACCTCTGCACATCAATCTTGCTGGGCATAAAGGTAATCACATATATTTAAATGCTCAGGGCTAGCTATTAGTCCACTTGCTTGAATTGTTACGACTTCCTAGATACGAGTTCTCGTTAACTGTTGTAGAACTGAACAAGTAGTTCAGTCTTTTGTTTCAGCTAGACCAGACTAACACGGCTGCATCTCTATCACTATTCAAGTAGTAGTGACTTTAGAGATTTCTTGCATAAATATTGCTAATGTATCATTTCTCCTGTCTAGTTTGTCTTCTCAGGAGGCTTACTGGAGTTCAGCTGAATAAACTTGCAAATCCCTGCAATCTTTTTCTCCACTAGAAAGTGCTTGTCAGGCTATATTAAATGTTGGGCTATCGGTAAACCCTCTTCTCGTTCTGTGTGTTTAAAAGGTATTCGAAGTTAGGCTAATTTATTTTCAACTGCATTTTTATTACACGAGTTTGTTTTTCATGCAGGTAACTCAGATATGTTCTAACGGATTTGTACTACAGGAGTGGGGGAAGGAAGGAAGGTAAGTGTCTGTGAATTAATGATATTAGAGGTGGGGAAAGTTAGATGTCTGTGAGCTGATGGTATTAGAGGTGATAATTGGGGAAGCTATCCTGGTAATGGGTAAGATAGTTGGGGTCTTTGTTCAATCGGCCCCCCCCAGAGAGTGCCGGGGGGGCGGATTGAACAAAGACCCCAACTATCTTACCCATTACCAGGATAGCTTCCCCAATTATCACCCTTCACCCTCCCCCCCCCCCCCCCCGCATCCCCCTTCTGTTCTGAAATGTGATTTGTCCTTTTCATATGTGTTCATTTTTTTTAATTGTATCCATTGGTATATATGGTTGTGACTATTTTCTTCCACTATTTGATCTGAGGAAGTGGGTCTGGCCCACAAAAGCTCATCTAATAAACCATCTTGTTAGTCTTTAAAGTGCTACATAGTCCTGCATTTTGCTTCAGCTACACCAGACTAACACGGCTACATTTCTATTACTATACTACAGGAGTGAACTTGTGTTTTATCTTTTATGGATTTCAGATAGTGGAATTAGTTTAGAAAATGGAGTATTTGCTGCTGCTGTTGTGCCTGGTAGCCCAGCTGCCAAAGACGGGTCTCTTGCTGTGGGAGATAGAATAATTGCCGTAAGTCTAATGAACAGATATCATTTCAGTATTACAGGGAGTATGAAACACACATTTAATTTGCTTTAAAAATCTTGAATCTTCTTGTTGGGCTTGTTGTGTGATGTTTTTCTCTGTTTTAAATGTAATGATCTTAGGAATAAACAAACGTTTTGGGGGTTGTAGGGTGGGTAATAGAAAATATAGGTCATGTTTAGTAGTTTCATTAGTGAAGTTTTTGCAAATGTGATTGCAGTAACTCATCCTTCACACTTACTTGTGGACAGTCACACAGCCTTCCCTTTTCACAATAGGTGATATCTAAGACTTATTAATATAAGGACTTCAGTTCAAGGATCTTTAATGCAAGGAATTGTATTGTTAATACAAGGAATCTTTAGATCTCCATTAGAGGTTAGAAATAGAAATGATCTGGAATGGTTTTGTGACTATTCTTTCTTTAAAAGTGGACCAATGTGTCTCCATTCCATTTCTGGATGCGCTGGTTAAACTACAGGTGCTCCTGCAATTTGCCTGTTTTTATCTTCAGACTTCCTCTGAGATACCTGCTCTTCCAGAACCAAATCAAAGAGATTCTTCAATTCTTGTCTCCTCCAGGATGCCACTTTATCCCTTCTGGGAACTGTTGGGTGTGCGTGATCAGTTGAATAGTATCTTAATTATTAGTATCTTGGTTATACGTTTTATTCAGAGGAATAGATCTCAGGAAGAGTAGATTCATGCAAATAGATAAAGATAATGTGGAGCAATCAAACATTAAACGCCAGCTTTAGTCCATAATTGCAGCCCTGATGAAATGAAATCTCTAGTTAGTGACATTGTCTGACTTCTCATGTGCAAAAATGATCCAATTTACCTAGATACTGTCATTTTTCTTTCTGTTCTAGTGTTGTTTTTGTTTGTATTTGTGTAACCATTATGTACCTATATCATAGAAGGTAAACTAAGACAATTCTTGTTGCTAGCTTTGTTTTGGTAATTTCCTCTTGTTTTGCTGTTTTCCTTGGCAGATTAATGGCATTGCACTTGATAATAAATCACTGACTGAATGTGAAGCTTTGCTACGAAACTGTAGAGATTCCCTTACACTCTCATTGATGAAGGTGAGTGTGGGGACAGAAACGGAGGAGGTGAAGGAAAAAGCTGCAAGGTTTTTTGAAGATGCACATTTTTTTAATTCTAAAGAGGGGAAAGAGCGCATTCATAAAATGAATACAGTAATGTGGAAATTCAACGAAAACAGATGGCTTTCCCTGATAGTAATTGGTCCATAGGGGTCATTAGCCCATTTGGATGGCTGTTCCAGTGTGTAGAATTCAGTGGCTGCTCTCAGTTCCATTGCGCACACATTGCAAAAAACCAAAAACCTCTCAACGCAACAGGTAATATAGCCCCTTTGTTAGCATCAGCTGTAGAAAGTCTGCATGCACATAGAAACTGAACTGTCCTCTTGCCTCTCGAAAGGGATCCCTGGTGAGCAGTGTTCCCTCTAAACTGTGTGGCAGCACAGCTTTACAGGTGATTGATCAGCCCCACCCAGTCAGAGGCTTAGAGGGAACACTGCTGTGAGATGGGGTGGGGATCACTGGTGGAAAAGCAGCCTCCTCCCATGATAGTGGATTCTTCATTCTCGAGGGCCATCAGTAGGGAAACACATTTCAAACCAGAATCTCTACTGAGGCTGGGGGTAAATTAAGTTAGGTGTGCCATAGAGAGTAAGGGTATACCTACACAGCAACATGATTTTGAAATAACTAGCATTATTTCGGAATAACTTAGTCCATGTCTACACAGGAGGCAGTTATATCGAAGTAATGTCGAAATACTGTCAAGCTGGAGGACTGCTTACTCCTATTCCTTAACCCTCATAGTGCGATGAGTAAGGGAAGACAGAGTCAGAGTGCTCTATTTTAAAATAAGTGCTGTGTAGACGCTCCCTATTTTGAAATAAGCTACGTAATTGACATGATTCAATTTCGAGTTAAGCCCTACTATGTAGACACACCCTAAAAGTTTCAGCCCCAGAGACCTGATAGGCTAAATAGACAGGACAGACAAAAGGTAAGAGTGAAAAGACACACTAAAAAGTGACTTGCCTACTGGTAGATCCAGAACTAAATCCAAATCTCTGGTGTCCTGGTCAAGGGCCTTCTCCATTCCCCATGCTGCCTCTGTGAAGATACTTATAAAAGACCAAAAAGGTTTGTTGGATTGATTCCCTGATTGCTGTATTGATTGGATTCCCTGTTACTAGCGGTTTCTGAGATTGAGCTCTTCCCACCCCCACACACTCCATCCATCATTTCCCCCAGAACGTAGGTGTGCTCCTTTATGTTCAGCTTTGTGTTATGGTCTGTGTGTGAATTGGGAACTCGTGGGGACAGCTGAGGCAGCCAGGGGCAAAACTCAAATCTGACACACTGTTGAGTAAATATTTTTCTCCCCCTAGGTTTTTCCTCAGAGCTCATCATGGAGTGGTCAGAACATATTTGAAAACCTGAAGGATTCCGAGAAAATATCCAACTGCCGGGTTCATACATCAGAGATACAATCTCAGAATAAAAGAAACTTGAAACACAACAGTTCAACACAAACAGACATTTTCAATCCAGACATTCTGGATGGCAAGAAGGACCAGAGCGACCAGGGGAGTGGCTCGTTCTGTGATCACAAGCCCTTTTCCTGCTGCTCTAAAACCTGAAGGATTCCGAGAAAATATCCAACTGCCGGGTTCATACATCAGAGATACAATCTCAGAATAAAAGAAACTTGAAACACAACAGTTCAACACAAACAGACATTTTCAATCCAGACATTCTGGATGGCAAGAAGGACCAGAGCGACCAGGGGAGTGGCTCGTTCTGTGATCACAAGCCCTTTTCCTGCTGCTCT